CCAGTTTTTGCCCTTAGCAGAGTTCGCCTACAACAACAGCTACCAGTCCAGCATTCAGATGGCTCCATATGAGGCGTTGTATGGTAGGCGATATCGGTCTCCAGTCGGATGGTTCGAGTCGGGAGAGGCTCGGTTATTGGGTACAGATTTAGTTCAGGAGGCCTTGGATAAGGTCAAGATCATTCAGGACAGGCTTCGTTCGGCTCAGTCGCGGCAAAAGAGTAATGCGGATCGTAAGGTTCGAGATGTAGCTTTCATGGTTGGTGAGCGGGTCTTGCTCCGAGTGTCGCCTATGAAGGGCGTGATGAGATTTGGGAAGAAGGTCAAGCTTAGCCCTAGATTCATTGGCCCATTTGAGATTCTCGATCGTGTGGGAGAGGTGGCTTACAGACTTGCCTTGCCGCCCAGCTTGTCAGCCGTGCATCCAGTGTTCCATGTGTCCATGCTTCGGAGGTATCAGGGCGATCCAGCCCACGTGTTAGATTTCAGCACTGTCCAGTTGGACAAGGATCTGTCTTACGAGGAGGAGCCGGTAGCTATTCTAGACCGGCAGGTTCGACAGTTGAGGTCGAAGAGATTTCCTTCAGTGCGTGTCCAGTGGAGAGGTCAGCCTCCTGAGGCTTCGACCTGGGAGTCCGAGTCTGATATGCGGAGCCGTTATCCTCATCTTTTTCCCGACCCAGGTACTTCTTTCTTTGTCCGTTCGAGGACGAATGGTTGTTTTAGAGGTGGAGAATGTGACGATCCAAAGGGTCATCACCTGTTTTCTCTTTCATCCCGTGCTTCCGAGGCCTTGAAAACCTCATTTTTACTTGCCTCGATATGCGTGCGCAGTCGGGGCGCGTAGCCGGAAAGATTATATGTTAAATTCTGTGAAAAATTTCAAAATGTGGCTTTAAAATGATTAAAGTTGACTTTCGTTAACATTTTTGGTAAACGGACCCGGACCCATGATTTGACGGTCCCGGAGGGTCCGTAGAAAAATATAGGACTCGGGCATATGCCCGGAGTCGAATTCCGAGGTCTAGAGCCCGAGAAAAGAATTTTTCTGTGAAATTGTTTTTCTGAAATTATTAAGGAAAATAGAAATGAAAATTTGATTAAAAGACTGTGGTATCGGGCTCGTATTTTGGTTCCGACGCCCGGTACAAGTCTTATATATGGTTTAAGCGCTTTCTGTGAAGTTTGGTTGAAAACGGACGTCGTTTGACGTGTTTCGGACTTAAAAATGGAAAATTTGTGTTTGATGAAAAAGTTGGAAGAAATCTTGTGATTTGAGGCTTGACTCTATGTATATGATGTTATCTTGGCGATTTGATCGCTCCGTTAAGTTCGTAGGATGTTATTGAGTTAGTGTGTGTGTTTGGTTAGGAGCCCCGAGGGCTCGGGAGTGATTTGGAGTGGTTTTTGCACTTAGAAATATTGCAGATTTCCTTCAGCCGTTGCAGGCACCCATTTGTTCTACGCATTCGCATTCTTCCTTATGCGTTCGCGATGCCCACTGAGTCCCCTTCTTCGCGTTCGCGTGCCCCTTACGCGATTGCGTAGGCCAACGCAGCCCCCCCCAGTAATTCCTTCATTGCGTTCGCGAACTCGTCCTCGCATTCGCATAGTATCAGCTCACCCTTCATCGCGTTCGCGTATGTATCCACGCGTTCGCATAGAGTAAACCCAGGACCCCAGCCTTTTTCCTTCTATGCGTTCGCGTTTCCTCCCACGCGATCGCGATGCAGACCCAACTTACCCTTCGCGAACGCGGCCCCTTTCCCGCGAACGCGAAGGGCATTTTTGCCCAGTGATTTTTAAAGTTCAAAAACAGAATAGTTACAGGATTATTCCCATTCTTTCATAAAACTTGTCTTCTCCAAGCTCTAGGGGCGATTTTTGAAGCTCTTCTTCACCAAAGTCTTTGGGTGAGTAATTTCCCACCTAATTCATTCACTCTTCTTCATTAATTACTGAAATCCTAGACCTAAATCATGAAATCAAAGTAGAAATTAAGGGTTTTGGGTAGAGTTAGGTTTTTTGAGAACTTTGGGTGATTCAACCTCAATTTGGGGTCGAATCTTAAAACAAATTATATATTTGAACTCGTGGGGTTATGGGTGATTGGGTTTTGGTCCGAGCCTCGTGTTTGGACCATGTGGGCCCGGTGTCGAATTTTGGTATTTTTGGAGGGATGCTAGAAACTTCATATCTAGGTTATGTGATTTTGTTATTGAGTCTTTATTGATATTATTGAATTAATTATGCCTAGATATCGTGGTTTCGGAGTCGGATTTTAGAGGAAAGGCGGTATTTGAGGGTTGAATGCTATTCTTTGGACCGAGGTAAGTGTTTGATCTAACTTTGGCTTGAGGGAATAGGATTAGAGTATTGTTTTGCTAATTGCTAAATGTTGAGTACGGTGTATAGGCATGGTGACGAGTATCTATACACTGGTGTCTAGCATGACCGTGAGTCCTTACTTGTACGTAATCTGATTTTGTTGCGACTCTTCCATGCTTAATTGATGAATTCTATGTAATGTGAAGAGTAAGGAGACTAATTATGAATTGTAAATTCTTTGGAGCGTTGGCTCGAACGATAAAAAGACTATTGAGTAAGAAATGAAAGAAATAGAAAGAGATATGATTAATCCCTTGCCGGGATGGTTTGTGTATATTGATTATCTCCCTTGCCGGGATGTGAAAGTTATTGTTGTTGCTCCCTTGCGGGGATTTAGCTGTTTACTTGTGTTTTCCCTTACCGGGATATTTCTTATTATTTGTCTATCCCCTCGCCCCGTTTGGTTGTGATTGTTGATTGGGTGAGGAAGAGTGATTATGCACGAAGGGTCATTCCGTGCCATATTTTGATTATATTTGCACGAAGGGTGATTCCGTGCCATGCTTTGATTATTTATGCACGAAGGGTCATTCCGTGCCATGTTTTGATTATATTTGCACGAAGGGTCATTCCGTGCCATGTTTTGATTATATTTGCACGAAGGGTCATTCCGTGGCATGTTTTGATTATTTATGCACGAAGGAACATTCCGTGCCCTGATTTGATTACAATTGCACGAAGGATTATTCCGTGCCATGATATGAGAGTTATGTGAGGAAAAAGCACGAAGGTTGATGCCGTGCACTTTATTTGATTGCTTTTGGTGAGAATGAGAGTAAAAGCACGAAGGTTGATGCCGTGCAACTGTTAATTTTGCTCTCATTAATTATTATTATTGCACGGTTTCTTGCTTAAATTGCTGACTTTATATCCGGACTGTACTTCCCCATAGTATGCTCCCCTCCCTCTTAGCTATTTATTTTCTGTATTCTTTCCTTTTGTTTTGCATATATATATATTGAACTGCACAGGTTGGTTTGGTAGTCCTGTCTAGCCTCGTCACTACTTCGCCGGGGTTAGGCCAGGCACTTACCAGCACATGGGGTCGGTTGTGCCGATGCTACACTCTGTGCATCTTTTTGCACAGATCCAGGAGCAGCTTTTGGACCACAGCAGTAGTTGATTGGGAGCTGACTTCAGTCCAGGGACTTTCGAGGTAGCCTAGCTGGCGTCCGCAGGCCGGAGTCCCTTCTATGTTATTAGTTTGTTTTCCTTATACCGAGACAAACATTGATGTACTTCTATTCAGACTTATTTTTAGCACTCTTTAGTAGTTCGAGAGTTAGTGACACCGGATCTGGGTAGAGATGTTATTGAACTTCCGCATTTTGGTTTTCAGTTATCTATGCTTTTAGGACTTCCGCTTTTATTTAAATGACTCGTTTTATTTATATTGTTGAGATGTCATCAGAGAATGTTTTAATGCTTGGCTTGCCTAGCTCCGATAGTAGGCGCCATCACGACTCCCGATGGTGGGAAATCAGGGTCGTGACAATTACCTGATTGTTGAGAGACACCATCAGAAGCAAATGTGATAGCTTGTGGGCATTGAGGGACCGCGGGCAATATAGTCACCGGTGGTGGAAGCTGATAAGAGGAATTTAAAGTTGAATTATTATCCTCTTTGGCTGGTTGTTCAATAGAAATATTATCCCAAGTTACATTATCCTTACTTCTAAAATCTGAAAAAATATTTTGAAAAGGAAAATTGTCTTCTAGAAAAACTACATCCCTGGATACATATATTTTGGAATTAACTGGATCAAAACACTGATGGCTATAAAATTTATTAGAAAATCCTAAATAAACACATGGTGTAGATCGAGGTTCTAGTTTATTACTGGAATTAGGTTTAAGCCATGAGTAGCATAAGCATACAAATTTTTTGATGGAATTATAATTAGGTACTGTTTGAAATAGGATTTCAAAAAGGTGATTTATTTTGTAAATTTGGTGTAGTCATCTTATTAATCTAATAAACTGCTTGATGACATGCATAACTCCAAAAAGTTGAAGGTAAGATGTTAGGTGTAACAAGATGCGGGCTTTCTCATTGACATGCCGATGTCGGCGTTCAACTAAGGCTACCCGTTGGGGTGTGTATGGGGGCGATACTAAGTGTTCAATTCCATGATTTTTTAAATAGGAATCTAATTTTTGAAATTCACCACCACCATCAGTGTACAAGGATAATATTTTTGTGTGAAAATGTCTTTCAAGCAGGGGATGTAAGGTTTGGAAGATTTTCAAAACTTCCGTTTTAGCTTTGAGCGTGAACAACCACATATTTTGAAAATTGATCAACAAATAAAATGTAGTATCGTTTTTTGTCAATTGATAATACCGGAGACGGTCCCCACAAATCACTATAAATTAAATGTAATTTCTTATCACTGTGCAAAGAAGTTTTCGAGAAAGGCATCCTGTGGCTTTTATTGGAATAACATGAATTACGGATAGTACCGGTTTTTTAATCAGAAACTGGAATGGAAAAATCAAGCAGAAATTTATTTAGAGCACGATGATTAGGGTGGCCTAGTCGTCGATGCCACAGGTGATATGGGACAGCAACATTGCATTTGGGAGGACCTTCAACATCGCCCGTTAGCTACTCATACAGCCCATTCGTAGTCCATCCGCGAACCGATGGTGCCCCCGTAGTCAGATCCTTCACAAAATAAAAACGAGAAAAGAATTCAATAGAGGTGTTATTGTCTTGACAAAACTTAGAGACAGAGAGTAGATTATTTTTAATGGCTGGAGAGCAGAGAACATTTTGGAGATGGAATTTGTGATATAATGCATTAATGTTCACATTACCAGTATAGGAGATTGGAATGGTATTACCATTGCCCATGACTATATCTTCCGAACCATGGTAGTCTTGCATAGTGGCTAGACTTTGAGTGTCCGAGGCAATATGATGTGTTGCACCACTGTCAACGATCCACGGAGCTTGCTGATTTTGGAAGCTTGCAGCATAATTAGCGGGAGCTTGAAAATGATTGTGAGACCGTGTCCGACATACATGAGCTGTATGTACTCTACCATCACAAAGTTGGCAGTAAATGCTGTTGTTGGGAGGCTGTTGTTGTTGATTGTTGCGCCTGGGCTGCTGATTATTGCGCCATGCTTGATTGCGACTTTGTTGATTGAGATTGTTGTTGTTGGGTGCATTTGATCGCCGATTGTTGTTGGATCCCTGGCGTGTAGGAGTTGACGCAGTCCCCTGAGCAATATCAACAGTTATTGGAGCAGAAGGAGTCCTTTTGGCTTCCTCATGATGAAGAAAAAACTCATGATCAAGGAGCTTTTCATATAGTTTTTCGTATGAGATTGTTGAATCTCGAGCTCGGATAGCAGCGGAAAGGTGTCGGAATTCAGATCCAAGTCCAGTAAGAATCTTGACAACCAATTCTTCATTGAAAACGAGGGATCCAGCAGTGGCAAGTTCATCACATAGTGTGCGAACTTGATGAAGATAATCTGCAATAGGGAGAGAGTCCTTGGAAAGGCGGTCTAGACAGTCTCGAAGACTAAAGGTATGAGTTTGGGACTTGTTTGCATAAGCAATATGCAGTGCATCCCAAGCCATTTTGGCATTGGCAGCAGAAGCAACTGTACTAGCAATTGTTGAGTCTACAGATGCCAATACAGCATTTTGTATGAGCTGATCTTGCTGAAACCAAGCAAGAAAATCAGGATTGGGTACTTCTTGGTTATTTGCAGAGATAGTCTGAGAGGGGGTTGGTTTCGATCCATCAAGGTGACCAAAGAGATTGTGCCCACACATAAGCATGGACACCTGAGCCTTCCATAGTGAAAAGTTATGGCTACCAGTAAGTTTGATGGGAAGTTGAGCAACGGGATTGAACTGGACAACAGTCTTTGAACCGGAGGTGTTATCGGCATTGACAACAGTTGGAGAACTTGGAGCCATTTATGTGTGCAGTGCGTGGGTTAAAAAAAAAATTAGGATCAAGCTCGTTGGAGCAGTAGGGCTCTTGATACCATAAAGAGTGATAAAGGCAGAAGAAGAACTTATATTATATTGATTATCAGGTTGGCTTTATATAGCTAAGTGTAGTATATTAAAGCTGTGAATAATGAAACAACTTAGAGATAATCTAGGATACAGAGAAACCTATGTGAATAACAATCCTAAACAAAAGGAATCTGATAAGCACCAAAGAGATATTAAAAAACAGAATAACAAAAAGTCTTATACAGAAAGAGATAACTTGCTACTGCCGTTATTACAATGGAGCCCGACTATATCCGGATTCGCGCCGCGTAGGGCCCCATTCGGAGGGAAGCGCTCCCTACCAAGGATTTTTCAATACCCAGGGCTCGAACTCGAGACCTCTGGTTAAGGGAGGAGCAGTCTCATCCACTGCACCACATTTGTTTTGTATTTTTTTATCAATAAGTTCGACTATATTATATATACTGTTATTTTAAAAATAGCAAAAAAACTTAACGGGTCTTTCGATTGTGTATATAATGCATAAGATAATACAATGTTTGGTTGAGGTTTGTGAGTAATTAATTTCATAAAATTTCATACAAGATAATACAGTGTTTGGTTGGTGGTACTAAGTAATACCTGCATTAAATTATACAGGATTTATATACTTTTTATGCGGGATAGAATGTGAAATAAGAATACGTGTATAAGTAATACAAGGATTAAACCATTTAAAGAAAAAGATTTCTTTTAGAGTAAGTAAATCATGTAAAATATTTTTTTTAAGTATTAATCACTATATAACAACGATTCATTATTAATCACCGCACATAATTCCTTCACTAAATCACCTTACATAAAACTTCTACATTACTAGTTTATGCATGCATAACTTACTTCTAAACCAAACGATCTCTAGTGATTTGTTAGATATAATTTTAATAAAAAATGCAATTTTGTTAGACATAAGAAAAGGACAAAAGAAATTAAATTTAGAAAGAGACTAAAGAATCTCATTAAAAATGGTAAAGAAGGAAAGTGGGCCATATTGAGTTGGTGAGAGCGGCCCATAAAATCAGACCAATAAAGCCCACCGCCGTCAATGTAACTATGGCCCACTGAATATTTAGTTGCTTTTCGGCTTATACTACTTTTTTATTTTTTATTTTTTATAGCATGATTTAAATGCTATAAAATATTAATCACCTTCCTATTTAATTATTGGCAGCTGTTAGACCACTTTGTTAGTTGAGACCCAGGTTATTTATTTAATAAAATTATGCAAAATATAGAAAAAATCATCTCATAGGAACTATGTGTTTTTATGGTCATATTCGAACTCATATTTCTGTATCGAGGATAATCAAAATAAAGAAAAATACTTTTTTGATGAAAAATACATTTGTTGGAATTTTAATCGAGATACCTAAATAGGGCATTAGTTCATTCTCGAGTTCTTGAATCAAATTTAGTGGAATAAAATGCCAAATGCTATTTCCGGATGCACAAGGGTACATGTAAAAACATGAATAGCGAACGTGTTAAGAGGTACGAGATAGATGTAAAATCATACTTAATGAATTTGTCGCAAAATCATACGAGATAAATCTATGTTGACTTATCAAAAATGACATAATGGAAGAAAAAGACATATATATGCGATATCAATTAGTTGAAAATATGTCTAGTCATATTATAGTATGTTTACTTTATGTCGTATATTTTCCATGAGTGTTTTAGTTATGTTAGAAATTTATATACCAGTAAGCATATGTTTTGGTCATGTTAGTACGTTTATTTTAGGTAATACATTTTCTAGGAGTATTTTAAACTAAGATGGAGCTAAATGGAGAGACATTATCAGTTAATTAATATTTGTATTCGTATAGCTGACCTCAACTTTTTTCGAATAAAGACATAGAAACTAAAATTAATTTATTTTGACTCCACAATTAGAAACTATATTGTCATGGAAAAAGGAATATATTAATTGTATACAAAAATTGCTGGATTTCTTGATCTTTGAATAAGTAATCAAGTTGTAAGAATTGAAGCCTTTTTTTTTTATAGCTTTACAACTGAATAATTTTGTGCCAATTTTTTTCAAGAAAATGTGCATTGTTATGTCCGCAAAGTGAGTATTGCAGAGTTGTTGAATAGGCGGATCCGGGAATTTAAATTTATGAGTATTGCATTACAACTTATTTTTGCTTATTCTGTTCGGGATAGACTATTTATATATATTAAGTAAATTTTATAATACAAATATAAAATTTGAGCTAAAATTATTGGGCTCTGCCGAATCCGTAACTTCTACTGTTGCTCCGCCCCTTGTTGTTGATTTATCAACTTGCTCGAGTGAAAGAGACAAAATTAGCAATTTAATAAACTTTATCTAATAAGGATGTTGATTAATTGTAAATGAAATAGAGGAAACTATCTGTAAAGCACAATCTATTTACAACATAAACTATTCTAACAATATATATTTTATTATCTGTTAATTAAGTGGACCATTATCGATAAATAAATATAAAATATTACCCTTGGGTGAGATCATGCTAAACCCACTAGTATACACATGATACTCATTCAAGAATCCTGTTTGTAACGTGAATATTATTGTGTTATAGGGTACATATTATATGATTTAAAAGAAATAGACTACATAGTATATGATTTAAAAGAAATAGACTACATAGTATATGATTTAAAAGAAATAGACTTATATATAATAGATTTTTGTTTTTAAAAACAATTCATTACATTGAAGGATCGAGAAGGAAAAGGAAAAAGGAAAAGGAAAAGGGGTAATGAATTTAAAAAAAAATATTCTACACTATCAATGTATTTTAAATGGTGTGGTAAACTATTTATCTTATTTTTCAGGTTATTAATTTCACTTATTACGAAAAATTTTCTGTAGTTTTTTTTAAAAGTTGACCTAATACTATTACACGTTCGATGTATAAAACTTTAAACTCTTATATCATTAACGACTATTTAGCAAGATAATAATGGGTGGCAACAACCTTGGCATCCCTTCAATAGTTCTTTATTTTAACTTTTTAGATTATAGAGACTATTTATTTCAATTGTTTTAAGTTACGGGGTTCTAAAGTAATAATTTATACATATTAAATGGATTTTTATTGACAAAATACAAAGTTCGAACCAAAGCTATTGGGTTCGGCTGAACTCACTCCCGATACTCTAGCTCCACCCCTGTATAGAGGCCGTTTGATTATTGAGATTAGGATACCAATATCGGTTTAAAATGTATGATTAAATTTATTTAATGTTTGGTTATATGTTGCTAACCAAATGACCCCCTAAAATTTAATTAAAGTATTTATGAAATTGTTTAGGAATTAAACAGAAGTTTAAAATCAGTGTAATCATAGTGAGATGAGAATAATATCTTTCCTAACACCGATTTGATTCCCATGGCAAAGGGCATCCCTTTTTGGGTACATTGCCAACTCATTTCCATCTAAAATAATTCCTCTTTTCTCAATAAAATTCTTTTATTAAAAAAAGTTATAGAGATTCTTATTCCAAGAATGAAGTGCATATTTGATTCTATGTGGCAATGTTTGAAACAAGACGATACATAACATATATTATATTTCTTAAGAATAAGATATTCAAAGCATTTCATACTCAGAAAAGCGGATTCAGGATTTAAACTTTATGATTTCTGTATTTAAAGATGTCACTGCATCCACTGATCGTTTGATGCATACACATGATATGAGCCAAAGTTACTCGCTTCAACCGAACTTAGATCTTATATGATACATCCGCTTCCCTCTCTAGTGTATATAACAATATTATGAGTCAAAATAATGTAATTATTGAGAAGCATATACATATAATTAAGCTATAAAAAAATCATTTATCATTTAAATTTGTTATATACTATTAGATTATTAAAGATCAGTTATAGATAATTGTATATAATTAGCATGGTTTTGCAACATGAAAAAAGAGGGGAGTCGCATGTTACAACGATAAAATTGCAAATTATTTAAATACCAGTGTACATAACTTAAATCATTTCAATTATAGTAAAAAAAAATATTTACAATGAAAATATTCCGTATACTCATATATTATTAGCGTATAAAAAACAAATCAGCTCAAAATGTAAAGCTTATCAATAACATACACGTCACCACTGCAATCGAGATTAACGTCACGCGTTCAAGTTCTATCATAGACAAAAGCTTAATATTTAAGTGTAAACACTATAAAATAACTCATTATTCATAAAATTACATAACCTAATTTTATGCTCCTCATAAAACACACGTATCGTTTATATTGCCAAATTGTATTTTACTATTCTAATCAACGATTCGCCCCATTTGGGTCCATAAGTAGTAGCACAAGGATAACTGTACAGATAGTAATTCTCAAGTATGCTATTTAGAGATTAGTCAATACTTATTTTAAACTGAAATTTTAAACTAAAAACCTTAACTGCAGGACAATTCAGGACATTTTTGTCCCGAAAAAAAGAACTAAAAAACTAAAATTCAAGACGCACTGGCTAATTCCTAAATAACATCCCTTTAAAATGGCTACATGGTGTCATTTCTACGTAGAGCATAGTTGGACTAGCTAAGGTTTCCTTACACTGGCCCAAGCCCAACTCAGAGAAGTAGGAATGGCAATGAGGCGGTGCAGGTGCAGGTTTGAACCTAAGTGGGGCTGGCGGGTTTGTGACAGTGTGGGTGTAGGGCGGGGCGTGGCGGGTTGAATTTTTTTTAAAAAAAAACTTGCAGTTGCAGGGCGGGTGCGGGTTGATGCGGGTATGGCTGCTGGTCTGGCCAAGAAACATATACTGATCCAAAATTTTGCATTGCCGCTGTTTGTACTATATATTATTTTACTTATTAGATTACATAGTTTCTCACCTTTATAATAAGATGGACTCAGAGCTATTTATACTTTTCCTTTCTTGATGATTTGGGGATTGGAGTTTCAACTTTCAAACGACTCATTGCAAAACAGAAATAAAAAATGTTAAAACAACCAAGCTTATAGCAATTGTAAATAAAAAAAATAAAAAAACTTAAACAGAAAACTCATTAATTTAGAAAAGTATTACTAAATTGCAAACAATTAGTGAAAAAAAGACAAACCGAGACTTGATATGGTAACAACGGCAAGGCACTTGTCATTTTGTTTTTGTTAGGGAGGTGCTTGTATAGTATTTGGGTTTAAATTAAATTAATACTATTTCAGAAAAAATGAAAAAGTAGTTTATGAATCTTAATTTTTACTATCAAATTCATCCAAAAAAGAAAAAAATTTAAGGGGGGCGGGGAGGGGGCAGGTTAATGCGGGGGCGAGCAGGGTGGGTTGAAACAACAAATTATGTGATGCGGGACGAGTTGAAATCTTTGAGAGTTTGCCCTGCAACAGCATCGCACCGCACCGTTTGACATCCCTACGGAAGGTTTGACATCCCTACAGAGAAGTTAATTGCACACAGAATTTGTCTACAATTATCAAACACTTCAGAAATCTTAGCTCCAGTTTCTATAAGAATTTGTCACATAACAGGACCTAATGCATAGTCAAAGTTACTACAATTTACACTCATGATATCAAAAATGCTAATATAGGATTGGCCAAGCAACATGAGATGACATGACATAGGTTCTCTTACTTCTGGGAGGGATCTGTTGAAACATCAAAACCTGGAGGAACAAATACAACATCGTCCCACTTTGACGTCGAAGTATCCTGCAAAAATATGTTCATTCTTTGTTATTCGCACTGATTATAATACGGCCATTAACCAAGGGAATGTGCATTTAACAAGCAAAATGAACAAAAATAACAGTGTAACGCATGATGTGTGAGTTAGGCACATGTCACGAGTTCCAATGATGTTGCATACAAAAGCCTGGTATTTAAATGGAGAAGGGTAGAGGGTCGGCTATTATCCACCGAGTTTTGAACCATGTGCTATCTGGCTTCAGCGATTTCTTATTATCAAAAGTAAATAGATATAAGAAATTAAAACGGGTAAGAGGATGACAGAGAAGTTCTGCAAATTTTCCCGACATCATTTGTTGGATCAAGAACTTGAAGATATAACATGTAAATTTCTTGTCGAGGATTCTCACCTTCATGCCTTGTATTATATCCTCCAGAACAGCAACCTATCAAATCAGATGACAATTCTTGGTCATAATTCATGAAGCTAAGACGCACCGGTAGGTAAATATCAATAGACCTACCTGAATATCTCCTTTCAAAGCAGGATTCAATCGCCCTTGCTGCTGAGAAGCTCTTAGTAGTGAGTTCTCTAGGTCCTCCTGCACAAGTTGATAAAATTACACGAAGGGCGATATAGCATCATATCACATTAGTGGATACTAACTCCAGACAATTAGCTAACCTTCCTGAAGAAAACAGGGCGATATCTCTTGTTCTGGCTCCTCAGAATTAAGCTCCTTGACTATAATAAACGATCAGATGGATAAATGTCATTTTCAAACTCATGAGGAGGAGAACTGACAAGAAAAACAAGATCTAGTATGCTATATTTGTGACCATGCTATATAGCACAAAGTTTCTGAGCCGAGGGTCTATCGGAAACAGCCTCCCTGCCCTATCGGGGTAGGGGTAAGGTCTGCGTACACATTACCCTCCCCAGACCCCACTTTGTGGGGTTTCACTGGGTAGTTGTTGTTGTTGTTGTTGCTATATAGCACAAAGGGCCATCATGTGGCATGAAATTCCAGCCCACCATTCACATAATCTATGAATCTAGCGGTGCTAAATCTGTTGTGAAATTATGTGACTGTGATTTTCAGATGTCGGCGTGGTGTTTATCTCAAGCCTTGGTGGACACAGTTATCCGGTACCTGCGTAGGTGGGCCGCTGGAGATAGCAGGTACCCCGTTAGTCAAGGTGCGCACAAGTTGGAACAAACCCACAGTTATAAGAAAATTACCTCAAATATTCTACTGGCTACTGCATTCTCTCACCAGTACAGGAATTGGGCGACTCTGCCCACCAAAACTTAGATAAATGGGAAGAAATCACCTAGCTTTTTTGCTTTTGCTAGGATCCGGATCCTGTCTGCCATGATATTCTTTTTGAATAATAAAATTTAAGCAAACTGTGAAACATCGGAACTCTCCCATATTTCGGTTTGTGGAGATGGTTTTGCATCCGTCAACATATTCAATCATGGAAATGTTACGCCCTTACTCATCCAAAAGATTGGCTTATTTCATAATAAGAGATTGGTATTTTTAGGAATATAATAAGAAATATATTGGCACAAACATGTGAGTCCTATTAGGAAATATTAAATAGGTTTGCCATTAGATCTCTTTCTTATATGAATGAAGAGGATATCTAGCTTAAAACCTCAGTAGTGGTCACATTATTAATGATGGTTCTAAAGTTAAATTTGCATCAGGCTGCTACACAAGCGATAAAAGAACTTTCTTAACCAGGCAACATCATCCAAGAAGATGAAACAAGAGCAATACAATGCGGTCTCAAATGCAGAGGTCGAAGCCTCGCAATATTTTGCGCGGATGGCTTTTTGCCTTTAATCATTTTGGGAATTTATTAGTGCACACAGGGATTCTCATAATTCTAATGAAGTGAATAAAAAAGATGCTTCCACTCACACACGAGGATATAGCAGTAAGCACAATTGACAAGGCAGATGAGCATTTCAGTTTCTAAGCCGACTTTTTATATCATGCTTTGGCAGTTCTCTAGCTGCTAAAGGATGCCAAGATTAAAGCTGAGAGAGTGTACCTGAAACACTGGAACACCATAAAAGCTCTCATCAGACGTTCCAGTCCTTTCCCTTTCCTAGTTGAAAAAACAAAGGCAGCAGAATATGATCAGCTTCAGATTATAAAAGGAAAAATTTATGGTGCACCAAATGATATTTTAAACATGATGAATTAAATTTGGATGCACAAAACCATTTTTGGCATAAGCAGAAACCTAAATGTTATTCCTCAAAGAAATATCACTTAAAGATGAGGCCTCCTAATATTTGACTGACCGAATATATGTTATGACACTATGTTCTGGAGTCCACAACTGGTACATGTAATCTTTGTTACAGTAAAAAGAAACTTACTGAGCAACAGCTACCTTTCATCCACTTCAACCTAAAAGCAGCTTCTGTTTACTATATATTTATCTCTAAGATGAAGAAAACATCTTAATACTCATCTGAAGTGCCACAAACATTCAGATTTGGCGTCAAGCAAAAGTATCTACTACTTATTGTTGTGCTATCTCATTACTCTGGATGTTGTTAGTATTTGGTCAAACAAAAGACGGGTTCAGACAATGTTTTAGATAGGATTCCTGTTGAATCGTCAATCACAACATATTTACAGAGAAGGAACCTTGGAATAACCAAAGGTGCTCACGTAGCACAGGATGTTAAAATCATCGATAGGACGAAGTACTGAAACTGGAAGAATCTTATGCTTGACAATGTATGCAACCAGTGCTCGCACATATGCCAGCTTAAAAGGGAAAGCTAGAACAATAAAAAAGTGTCTAATCTTCTAATCAATACACATAAATTGTGTAAAAGTTTCATACATAGTGATACTAACAACAACAACAATAACAACAACAACCCAGTGGGATCCCGCAAGTGGGATGCATAATGATACTAAAACTTTCAAAATCTTGACCAATGTCCATGAGCCAAGGGTCTATCGGAACAACCTTTCTACCTTCCTAGGGAAGGGTAAGGTCTGCGTACACACTACCCTCCCCAAACCCCACTTGTGGGATCCCACTAGGTTTGTTGTTGTTATAGTCGAAAACTTTGGAATACCTGCGAATACTTTGCAATGATAATGACTATGCTCAGCAAGCAGAGAATAGGTAATAGCTGATCCAGGAAAGCTATGATACTCTGCTATAATAGACTAATGGAGACCTTCAAAAGAATAATCTTTTGTTTGATTAAGAACATAACAAACTTATTGACCTATAGACAGCACTTCTTGAAGATCGACAAGCAACCCAGTATCAAATTCTCACAATACCACTATGAAGATTTAAGCACACACTTAGTCTACAGCAAAGAGAATTTCAAACCAAAATCATAACATTGACTTCATCAATAAAAATTACAAAAATCTGTATCACCAGATATTCACCTTGATTGCATTCTTTACTTGAGATGCCTCTGGTATCAACCTGAAAGCCACTCCATCAACTTTGAGCTGGAAAACCTGCATTATTGACTCTCAATTAGACTCAATAACATTTTTCTTTTGCAATCAAGGATACAACTATCAGCCTCCGATAATCAGTTTTTTAATTCAATGACGGCAATTACTAGCTCAGTCATGCTTGTCCTACTTGCTTTTGTTCTTTCCAATGCCACATTATCTTTACTTCATTGTTCTAGTTATAAAAAGTAAACACATGGCCATTTCTCAACAAATGTTAAACAATTCTTATTCTCAGTTCTTTCTCTAAATTTTCAGTTCTTCATGAACATTGTATGTCCATACCTTCTTATCCGCAGATTTCTTTTACTATTTGTTGGTTCGTTTGCTTCGATTATTCTATCTCTGTATCACCTATCTCGATGTTGTTACCAATTGTTATTTCTGCTTCTTTTCCTTTGTTCTTTGAGTCGGGGGTCTATTGAAAACAACATCTCTACCTTCAAAGGGCAGGAGTAACGTCTGCATACACTCTACCCCTCCGCCTCCACCCCAAGACCGCACTATGTGGATTTCACTGGGTTGTTGTTGTAGTTCACTTCCAAGACAACCATATTTTCGACTAAGAGGTAATCATGTCAGTACACGACAGATCAGTTTAGTGTTTGTTACAAGTCTTTTTAGTTTGTTTAAAAATTTATATGTAACCTAAAGAATGTAAAGAACCTTCGGAGTTAGAGAACCCAAATCACTAAATTGAAATGGGACGGGCCAAATGGAGTGAAATGATTATTGAGGATTTATATAGTCGATCACAACTTAGGATTAAGACATAATTCTTGTTTCTCTTAATAATCATGTTAAGTCAAACACATGTTTTATAAGGGCTCACTTTGTTGCCGCATAAAAATATAATCTCAACATGAAATTCCACAAAGAAATACAATGTTTGTTTAACTACCTAAGGAAGAATAATCTTTGTTTATTAAGGTAGCATTTGATTAGCAGTATTAAACACCACATTGCCAGTGGCCTTGTAAGCTATGCAGGAATCTATATATTATTTCGTGCAAAATAGAATGTGGAATAGGAAACATGTATTACAGTACATAGATAAAAATATCTTAGGACAAAAATTCCCTTAAGTAGGCAATCTATGCATAATAATCCCCACACTAGTACTCAATGCATAAAAATCCCTACATTATTTTTCACCCCACAACAATCCTCACTTTTTTGTTCTCCACATAAACAAATCCTTCATTATAATCGCAGCAAAACTAGTCCATGTACTAACCCCGCTAACATTATTTGACACTATTTGTTATTACTTTTCTTTTTCAGATGACTGTGATGTCGGGGCCAATCGCAGCCAATAAAGTTAACCTTATTCAGAGCAACGGGAACAAATATTAAGTAGGCAATCTATGCATAAGAATCCTTGCAGTAGTACTCAACCCATAACAATCTCTATATTCTTTTTCACCCTATAACAATCCTCGCATTATTATTCCTCACATAAACAATTTATTATATTCGACACACAACAAGTCCATGTACTACCCCCCCCCCCCCCCCTCCCGAACACTATTTTTTAATTTTCTTAAGTTTTTCTAATGATAGTGGCGTCTGTGCCAACTTGCGCGCACCTATTCTAGCTCCCACCAGCACGGGTACAAGATAACTCTATCCACCAAGGAAAAATTACCTAGTGTTCTTTTGCATCCGCTATGGTTCTCATCGCACTTCATTGACCCGACATAACACTACTAGTCGAGCATAGATATTCATCATGGATGTGTCCAAGGGTGGTCCACTGAACATCCTTCCCTGAGAAATATACTGTGTATAGAGTCAAATATTACTTGTTATTAATTAAAAAAATAGACTTTGAACACCCTTGCGTAGCCCACTAGCAAAGGTTGTTCAAAATTTGAACACCCCTATTAAATTTCCTAGCTTCGCCACTATTAATCATAACACGATAAACACATCCATTACACAAAAATGAGTTGTACAAAAGCAATTAATGAAGCTAACCTTGTTAAGAGCAACAGGAACAACCCTCGAGCCATTTCGCATGGTGGGGTCCATAGATTCCATTTGCTGACGAAGAGCTTCAGCATCAGCTTCACTAAAACAAAACAACCCAAGATTTTTACCAGTACTAACACCCGAAACAAGCACGAATTCTTCAGAAGCATTGCTAAGTGCATAAACAGGTACTCCAGCCAACCTCTCCTCAATAGCTTCAGTAGATAAAGATTGCTTTTTTACACTATTATTATTAGTAACACCAATTTTAGCCCATGGGTTTTGTGAATTTTGATAAGAATTAAGTGTGTTGAGTTGCGGAAAAGTGGTTTGAAGGAAATTGGAGAAGTGGGTTTGTAAATTCTTGAAAGTTTGTTGGAGCTGTAGATGTGGTGGTGTTGCTGAAGAAGAAGATGAAGATGACTGTTTAGGTTTGAAGATATTCATGTTTTATTAGGTGAAATTAGAGAGCAAATGGTGAAAAGGTTTTAAAAACTGCTATAGATTTTGTGTCTACAGAAAGGGGTTTTGGGGTGTGTGTGTTGTGGGTGGGGGGTGTTGGGGGGGGGGGGAGGAGAGAGAGAGAAGAGAGACATAAGATAGAGATGGAGAGAGCCAAGGTAAAAAGGAAAATGTTTACCTATATTAAGGGTGTGTTTGGTATAGCGGAAAATGTTTTCTTGGAAAATAAGTAGTAATCTTATTCATTTTTCAATGTTTGGTATCCAAATTAAGGAAATAACTTCTCAAGAGTATTTATAAATAATTTTGATACAATAAACACGAAACTATAAATTTTCGAACCAACAAATTTCATATACTACCGAACCGTTAAACTTTCGAAACCGCGAAATTTTGAACCCGTAAACTTCCAAACATATAAACCTCCGAACTCATAACTTTGGAACTTGTAAAATATCAAACCTGTAAACCGAAAAAATAAAAAACTAAAACTAACAATATTTATATAAAAAAAATAAATTTTTGGGGCGGGGGAGGGGGAAGGGGTGCTGAAAAACGAAAAAATAAAAATCTGAAATTACAAAAGAAAAACACTTTTTTTAATGTGGGGTAAGGTGGGCAGTGGGGTGGGGAGGGGTGGGTGGTACAGAAAAATGAAAAAAATTTTTAATAAAGGGCGGCTTCTCCTATGTCGTGTCAAATTCGCATCGAAAAAAAGAGATTTGTCCTCTCCTATAAAGAAATCAAAAAATAATTGTTTCGTAAAATCTCGTCTAATACTAATATCTAATCACTAACAATCTAAAATCTAATAAAAAAACTAAGTAATAAATTAAGGTTCTATTTCAACACGGAACAAAGGGGACAATATACAGGATGGGTAGAAAGAGGTGTGATACTTGGCTTGATTCAGGGAAACTACAAACTACAGGATAGAAAAGAATATACCAATCCTAAGGATCCGTAGGATTAATTGTGGATCCAAGACAACAATAGAAAGATTTGAGTCTTAGATTTTGATTTAGTTTTCTAGATTTTGTATTTCAAATCTTGTATATCTAGGTAAGTATATACTTAGTCAAAATATATGCAATAGAATCTTTGTTGTATTCGGCTCAATCCTTTTAGTAAAAAGATNAAAACTAACAATATTTATATAAAAAAAATAAATTTTTGGGGCGGGGGAGGGGGAAGGGGTGCTGAAAAACGAAAAAATAAAAATCTGAAATTACAAAAGAAAAACACTTTTTTTATGTGGGGTAAGGTGGGCAGTGGGGTGGGGGAGGGGGTGGGTGGTACAGAAAAATGAAAAAACGGAAATTTGAAAATTACAAAAAAAAAAAACTTTTTTTGTGCGTGGGGTGGGGCAGTGGGGGTGGGGTTTGGCGGGATGGGTGGTGCAGAAAAAAAAAAGTAAAATTACAAAAAAAAAGTAAAAGAAAAACTTTTTCTTGCTTTGGGGGAGGGGTAGTAAGATGGGTGGTGACGAAAAAAAACTGAAATTGAAAATAAAAATATTTTTGGAGAGAGTTGTGGGGTGGGTTGGTGAGGGTGGGGAAAGTTGAGGAGGAGAAACATTTTGAGTAATAAGGAAAATATTTTTCAAACATTTAAGCCAACCAAATACGAAAAAAATTAGAAAAAGTTTCGGAATTCCTTCGTACCAAACACACCTAAGGTAAAACTTCGGCAAATTTTTTTATTTCAGCAGCCTCAAACCATTGAGAAATTTTTACCTATTAATAAGTGAAAAGATTAGTGCAACATCACAACTCTAATGCCAATCTTTTTAGCAGTATTTTTAAGGGATCGTCCATTTAGAAGGATTAGAAGAAATCTTTTCAGGATAAAGTTCCTCTTAAGATAGCACAAACTTTTATTAGAAAGATAAAATAATTTTCACATAAGTAATGCACTTTTTATTTGACTGTATAACAAAAAAAAAATCACTGCATAAACTAATGCAGAATTCAATTAGTTTGCGATTTCAATTAGTATTTGTCTTAGATTTGCAAAAATTATGTACTTTTTCAGTCTTAATTTTCATGACGGTATTTGACTGGCCAATGGCCATAGAGTTTAAGAAAAAAAGGAATACTTTTGGCACTTATGATCTAAATGAGCCATAAATATTTATATTGGTTATAAATCATCTTATTAAGTGTACAATGAGCATTTTATGGTTAAATTATTATTAAGTATAAAAAATAATTAACATTCCTTTTTAAACTGACTAAAAAAATATCATATAAAATGAGATAGAAGAATATCATTTTTAATGGGGTAAAATGTAAAATAAGAATACTCATCTTATCACTGTAGAGTTAAAAAAGAACGAACAAATTATTACAAAACCTTACATTGTTAGAATACAGGTTGGTGTTCATACGCAGATGAAGTAAATTTGAAATACAAAAGTTATTCATTTACTAAAATGTTATATGCAATGTAAAAATTGAATTATTATACTTGAATGTGTATATATTTTATATTATTTAAAGAGACAGCAAATTTGATAATAAATAACGGAAGAGGTCGATAATAAATATACTATGTTTGACAAAAGTTGGCGCGGGCATAATAAACTATGGTGTTTGTAGGGGCAGTTGCTCATTGTAAGCCTAATTTAATTATAACTTCATTATAGTAATATTTATTTGATAAATAACTTATCTTTATATTAACGTTAAGTCCCAGGGACACATGATAAAAATATATATATGAAATTATTTTAGCACATAGATTAGAAATCAAATAACACACAGATAGAGGCGGAACTATACTATAAAGAGATCTAGGGGTCACTGGCACCCGTAAAGTTCCACAAGAATTTCATGTATACATGTACCTATCTTTAGAGAATAGCGATATATTAGTAGTGGACACCCTATATACAAAGTAGATCTTGGTTGAATCCAAAAGTGCACCTACGACCTTCAAATCCTAGGTCCGCCCCTGGACATAGAGAACTATGTGAGAGTTGAACTAAATATGTTCCATCACTTAAATTGCCTCATACTATTTGATGGATATAGTCAACTTTGTCGCCCTTTCAAAACACTTAAAATTTTCTAAATTGTATTAACATGGGTTTACCACTAAGAATGGACAAAGAAACAATTAAACCAAGATATACATTTAACACGACTGATCACATAGCCATTGGGCCCGGGCTTAGCCCGAGCATAATCTCACTAGTAATTGGAATAAGAAATTTTACCTCCTATAGTAAAGGTATACAACATATTTATTATAAATAAAAAAATTTTTAAAATATTATTTTCTATAGCTACCTTTTATATTTATAGCAAAATAAATATTTATGGTATATACTACTATTGAGGCATGAAATAAGGCATGAAATATGCTATTTATGTTTTTCCTCTCTCTTTGACAATTGGACATACCTATTTTTAAGGTGATTGTTGTTACTGTATTCATAAATATATGGCGCGAATACATGTGAATACATGCACATACAGTTGGACTGCCCTGATTTCAGGCGCTTTTTACTTATGTATTCATGAATACAGCAGAGCCATAAATGTGCGTACAGCTGGATTGCCCTGATTTTAGGCATTTTTTGCTGCTATATGAATAAAGCTGGACTCCCCTGATTTTAGGCGCTTTTTGCTGATGTATTCATGAATACATGGCGGGAATACATGTGAATACATGTGCGTACAGCTGGACTGCCTTGATTTTTATGCTCTTTTTGCTGTTGTATTCATGAATACAGCAACGCGAATACAGCGAATATACTACCGTAATAACCGAATAATAACTATATTAACGATATTAGGAGTGTTTGTACTTAAGCATAAGATAGATTATATAGTTTGGTTGGTCACATATAAAGTTATTGTATATTTATATAACGATGTTAAGAGTGTTTATATTTAAGCGTAAAATAACATAAATACATTAGTTGGTTGCATAAAAAGTTATTTGTATAATTAATGAAGCATTGATTGACGGCACAAGAAAAAGTATATATGTGTAATTATTTTGAAGTCTGATTGGCAGTATTAATTTTACACATGTGAATTTATCTATCAATTATGGATAAGAGTATGTGAAATTTCATACACTAAAAATACCCTTCTTATCAATAACAACCATTAAGAGAATTCTAAATAATTCAAGCATACCTAAATTATGAAAATGCAAGGCAAATGTTATTTTGTCACTTTACTTATATTTTCTATTAATTAGATAGCACATTTTGGCCTACAAACTTTTGTTAACAATGCTTAAGTGCCTTTGTTAAGCTTGATATTGTACCTTACCTAATTTTAATTGTAATAAAATATGTTCTCCATATGGATATGGAGATAAAAAGCAACTAAAAACATAATTCTTCAAATTTGAGTGGATAAAAGGTAAAATAGCACGGGCTAGCCAGTTTTCGGACTGGTCATTCAAAATAGTCAGCGTTTGCAGAGCCATTGAAAAATAGCCGCTATTTTGCTGTAATACGGAAAGTTCCAGCATGATATACTGGAGATCGCTACACCTGTGTATGAACTTCCAGCATATTATGCTAGAACTCCAACACACGAAAAGTTCCAGCATATGCTGGAGATTGGAGCACCTGTATGAACTTCCAGCATATTATGCTGGACTGGTATATTATACTGGAACTCCAGTATAACAGTATACTTATGTTGGAGTTCCAGTATACTTATGTTGGAGTTCCAGTATATCATGCAGGAGTATTTTCTGAATTTTGAACAGTGTTTTCGCTCAGATTTATCTTTACATGAAAAGTGACTAAATTTCGATTACTTTTGATACTGTGGCTATTTTTTAATGACCTACTTGTAAATCTGACTATTTTTGAATTTCTCCCTGATAAAAGACTAACTACTACTTCGAGTCTAGGTGAGCTCAACAGAGGTGCTACTTAATGCAATTGGAAAGAGCTTAAAAAGAATTTAGTGAAAATTGTTAAGAATGTGATGAGGAAGAATGATCAAAATTAAATGTGGAATATTTTAACAAGAGATTTAAGTAGGTAAATCCTTACATGCTTCTGTATTTCCTTATATTATAGAATATACAGAGTTTGCACCCATTGTAGTTCTAAAATC